AAACGCCGCCATCTTGTGGATGTTTTGAGAATTGCGCGGAGGATCAACATTGCAGCGCGTCTGAGAGGAAACAAGACAACAACAACGGCGTGCACAGGTACTTGATTTACTTGATTTATAAGTATGGACTTACTTCACTCAGTCATTTATTTACTTTATAACAATTAAATAAATATCGGTTCTGCATATTGGTTATCGGGCACATAAACATGCAAATAATTGGTATCGGTATCGGTTATAAAATATCAATATCGGTCGATCACTAGTATCTACAACACTATTCCAGAACAGTTCAACCCAAATATTCAGATGTGTGCAGCGCATTTTATGGAGGACTGTTTCCTGATCCTGGGAGAGTAGACTACAATGCCGGCTGTTCTGACTCACAGACTGTATGTACGTTTTCATATTTAAAGGATTTGCCACTCATGATTCAAACGCGAGTTTTTAGCAGTGTAGAGTAGCGCTTGTTGTTTGCCATTTCTCCGATCACAAATGCAGACATGGTTTTATGTTTACGCATAAAAAGACAGTATAAGTCATTATAATCCGTAATTATGTCCCCACTGGATGCAACAAATGTCTCGTTTATAATGGGTTTTAATGTTTTTGTCTCGTCACTCCGGCATCACAGTATGGTAGGGGCGTAACATTTCCGTCACACGTGTAAGGAATTTAACTCATTTAAATTTGATAAGGGAATTAATCATTAATTTTATTTCTAGCTCAGGTTTTGAGAGGAATCGAATCTAAAAAAATTCGAGGTCCACCTGATTAAAAATTAATTCCAATTTGATAGTTTACACTTTAAATCGACAGTCGTCCAGCGAGCCACTGACCTCAGTATATTTTAACAATTTTAATATTTGTATTTCCTTGGCCACGGGTTAATACGTTCTTTGATAAGTAAGCTACGAGCTAGGTAGCATGATCTTGGCAAGGTTTGACTGTAAAATTATACGACATCAGACAATGATTCTTTATAAATGAAACACAAATTTATTGGCTATTCTAGGTTACATTAAAACTAAGCTAAAACACACATACATACAGTTCGGAAGAATGAAAGTTACGGAGTTTGTATGAAGTTCCCAAAGTTCTAACTCGTTTCCACAAGTGGTTTTAAATTCAACCCGAGAGAATCACAAAGCAGAGATTTATCTTACGTTTACTGCTTAATTATCAATTCAGCACCGATTTCAGCAGATAGGAGCTTTGTTTGTACCTGCGTTTTGCTGAAATCTGAGAAGTTCTTCGTGGCTGTGGTGGGAATTCCGTTGCTGATTGGTTACTGAGGTGACGTTTGGGTGACGTCCTTTTGGGGAAGCCTTCCGTGGTGATTGGAGGTTGCCTTTTGATGTAGGAGCTTCGAAAGTCGGTTGCCTTGAGCACGGAGAGTGATGTTCGTTGTTCCAATCAGATGGTGGCTGTGGGGCTTAGCCTTTTTTCATGCACAAGTCACATGCTCCCGTGGGCGTATTCCTGCAAGTTTTAATAACTTCTTATAAAGTGTCGTACAACACACACTGTTCAAAATAACACATTTTCACTCATACCCAGGTTATTTAAATATCATGACCATTCCCTCAAGCCCAAACTTCGCTTATCTGGCATACACAGAGTACCTTTAATCACTTTATCTATAAAAAAGGGTTATAAAACATTGATTAAACTTCATAGGTTACAATAAACACATCAAACAGAATGCCTATTATTTGGGAGTATATTGCTCCGATACTTTAAATTATTTTAAATGATTGTCTTTCAAACTTGGTCCATGCAATGTCTGCGTTTCCTCTTCTCATAAAGGAAGGGAGGGGGAATTTCCTGAGGTCCATACACGTCACGCAGTGGTTTGCGGAGTTTGATTTAATCACATTATCACTGTTCTTTAGGTCCGTTGTTTTGCAAGCCTGAGGGTGTGATTAAATTACTCGTCCTCTTCCTGTTGGATGTAGTAGTTCATTTATTGGCGATCACAAGACATCACGAGGTATCTATAAGTTGTAGTCCTGATACAAAAGATCTCTGTGTTATCTCTTGATTAGATTGGTTCATCATCTCATGATGAGTTGTTTCTGTGGCATATCAGTGTCCGTTCATGACAGAAATCCCTACACACGCTTGAGGTATTCGGCCAATCACAAAGCACTGGAAAGCTGGCCAATCACAGCACACCTCGCTTTTCAGACCGATGAGCTTTGTAAAAATCGATGCGTTTCAGAAAGGCGGGGCATAGAGGAGAAACAATAATGTACAGTATGTGGAAAATAATGTGTTCTTGAACCTTAAACCGCATAAACACATTTCATTACACCAAATACACTAAATAATGTTCTTTTTAGCAACATCATATGACCCCTTTAATATTATGTTAAATAATAAAAATATCAATTAAATTACATAATTTAATACTATTTTTAACTGTTAATATGAATATATAGTTTTATTTTCAGCTGTATTTAATGGATTTTACCATAGTTATTTCCATTTCCTTGAATTCTGCAGGTTTTTTCCTGCAAAATCAAAACAAAAAATGTGTTGATTTGGCCTGGTGTTTTTGTGTTAGTATGTATTAACAATGTTAAAGCATTCAGAATTGAGCAGTGAAAACATTACCAGTCCACAAACGGAGCTTTGAGGTACTTCAGAATTCAGAATATGAAAGGATGCCATTTTTCTTTGCACATTTCAGTTTAATTCCATTGCACTATTTTTAGCTTTTATAACAACTCTCATTACTCTATGAAAAAATTCCTGTGTTGGGTTGTAGATGGAATCCATAGCTCTGAGGGATTACTGGTGTTGAAGACCGAGCCACGGCCAACAAATAAATTGCAGGCAGAAATGTCATCCCTGTCCAGGTGTTCAGGAGTGCCATGTAGAGCCAGAAAACTGCCATCAGCCGCCGATCTGTTCTGCTGTCACACAAGCTAGAGAGAATCCAGAGAGTCAGGAGTAATGCATTGAGACGTCACACTCGTCATATCGATGGCAGCCGGTGTCACAGGACACAATTCAGGCATGACGCTTGGCCTTTCTTTTCTTTGGACTATTACAGTGATATTGTTGAAGCAAACTAGTGTAAATCAGGGATGCACCATTAGAGACATTTTTGCTGATATGATTGCAGTTGATTATTTTTGATATGGCTGAGAACTGATATGGTCAGTATTATACACTACCGTTCAAAAGTTTGGGGTTGGAAAGATTTTTTTTAAAGAAATAGTAAGGATACATTAAACTGATCAAAAGTGACAGTAAAGACATTTATAATGATAGAAAATATTTCTTTTTCAAATAAAATGTTCTTTTGAACTTTCTATTCATCAAAGGATCCTGAAATAAGACTGAAGTAATGATGCTGAAAATTCAGCTTTGCATCACAGGAATAAATTGCATTTAAAAATATATTCAAAGAGAAAACAATTGTTTTAAATTGTAATAATATTTCACAATATTACTGTTTTTACTGTATTTTTTATCAATTTTGGATACATTTTATATACTAAACCAATATAGTTGATTCCAGTATAGTTGTGCAACCTTAGTTTTATATTGATAATTAAAGCTCTAATTATGGCTCATAACATTATGGTGATAAATGTCTCAGGAGTGGTTTTACAGAGCTGACAGTACGGTCACTTGCTGGACCAGTTGTTTTGTTGCTGCATCTTTGTTGATGGGTTTTTATCCGCTGCCAACTTGTTGTGTATTGTGATGTTTTAAATGTCACCAAGGTAATGTTATCTATAAGTTTTGTTTGAAATTTCCAGGATGATTTGTGATAGTCTTGGAAACCTTTGTTGGAATGGGTTAGAAATTATAAACAAGTCAGTAATGACCATTTATAAAAGCAAATTTAAATCCAAATTCACGATGTCTTGGAGTTATATTTTAGTTAAAGAGCATTTAATGTTTAATTAAAAAATATATATACATTTTTTAAGCTAAGGCAAGCAATCATTATCACTGTTGCTCATTATTTATGATTTACACAAAACCCTGACCCTAATTATTTATCTTTGGCACGTAATTCCTCCCACATTGTTTGTGCAGCCACCTAGCAACCACTCAGAACACCTTACCAACCACAATGCACTGACCCTAGCATTGTGATGGTAACTTTAGCACAGATGCGTTGTAGAAACGCTCATATCTTCTTCAGAAAAAGTACAAAACTAGCTCTGTTTCCATTCTGCTTATATTATAAATTACCTAAGACAGCATTAAGAGCATCGCAGCATTACTCTAACATTATATAGGAGTTTTACTAAGGTTTCCCTAATGTGTTTATTATGTTTATGCCTCTCTATCATCTTCATCTGTGTCTCAGAGATTTTGCATTAAGATGAAAAGTTAAAAGGTAGCTTATTAAGAGGAGGAAATGGGCTGATGGTGGCTCTTTATGCACTGCGTTTTTTCATTTTCTTGTCTGTCTGTGTGCAAATAGGTGTTTTTGTATGTTTTATGTGAACACTGACATTTTACACGTGTTTTATGTCTTAAAGTTTTGATTAATTGCCAAAATAATGACTGTTTTATACAGATTTCCTCTCATTTTCCATTGGTTAGACAAAAAAGGATTAGTTTTGATTAATTGCCAAAATAATGACTGTTGTCATACAGGTTTCCTTACATTTTCCATTGGTCAGACCAAAAAAAAAGGTTGTTTTTATTAATTGCCAAAATAATGACAATACATATTTTAATAAACATATTTTATATATGTTTCCTTTCATTTTCCATTTGTCAGACAAAAAAGAATTCGATCAACATGTTTAAGAATAATGCAACACAACTATAGTCTTAATTATTACTTACCACCACAAATTATCCAGAAGACACTTAACATAATGACTAAATATATTTTGATACATATTGTTCTTTCCATTTCTAGTCCGTTTTTTGTTAACTGCATGTGTTCTCTTCTCCATCTTTGTGTATTTCTTGCTTGTCAGTTTGATGCCGTTTCTTGGCCTGTACGTGTCTCCCTGCAGGCGAGTTCTCCCGTGTTTGTGCCGGAAACCTCCCATGAGCTGCTCCACAGGATGACGGGTAAAGGTCTGTCAGCCCAGTACCGCTTCACCCGGCAGCCCTGTATCTATGGCAACAGCATGGTATCCCTGCAGCTGACGCTAAGCAACAGGACTGACCAAGCCCTGGAGAACATCCACATCTCTGAGAAGAGCTCCACCGGACAAAACATCCACCGCTTTAATGCTATCGGTGAGCTTAACACGTCAATAAATGGAGTTTAACAGGATTAGTTGTGAATGTGTAATGCAAAGGGGTCATAGCATGAAGAACAGGTTTTTCTTGCTGTTGCTTGCTTCTGAAAGATGAGTTTGAATTGTGAAATTGGCACAACTGTGAGCACATTAAAATATGAACAGCCATGTTTATCAATATCAACACCTATTTGGCAACTACTACTTATTTACCTTCACATTTATTTATTTTTAATTCCTTTTAATCATAGTTGTTGTTTTTACTTTGGGTATACTTATTGTTTTATTGGGCAGTAATTTTTTATATTTATTTTAATTATAGTTGTTTTTACATTGGGTGTTTATTTATTTACATTGGGTATTGTATGTATTTGTTTGTTTTAATTGTTTAATTAATTAAGTTTAATAAATTTTTTACATCAAGTATGTATTTATTTATTTATTTTAAATATAGTTGTTTTTGTTACAATAAGTGTTTAGTGAGTTGTTTTAATTGTTGTTGTTTTTTTACATTAAGTTCATTTATTTATTTCAATTATAATTGTTGTTGTACATTATTATTATTATTTCATACTTTGGTGTTAATATTATCATTTATTTATTTATTTGTTTATTTATACATGCATACATACATACATTGGTTATTTCTTCTTCTTATTAATTTTACTCATCCAGTCAGGGATTTTGCCATCCTATTTTCACCCTGTAGTTGAAGTTTTCTTTCTCTGATTGTCATGTAAACTTCAAATCAGTTAAAATTATTTTGTAAAATTCAAGAAGGTCACCCAATTATTTTGAAAGTGTTTAATAATATAGAATACAGCTGTTTTAGACATTCATAAATATTAGTTATTAATCAGACTGTCCAGCTGAGACTTCTCCAGCACACACACATTCACATTCTCCCTCCTTCAGCCTGTATTAATGCAGCTGATATGATTTCAGCCTGTGTATCGATTAGCAGAGATCCTCTCATCAGACACGCAGCTCACAGTGGTGCACAACACAAACACACACTCGCATTCCCTATGTTTTCTCTCTGTCTGTTTTTCTCTTTCTCGGTCACAAAACAGTTTTAGTCATTCACAGGACAGGTTTGGGTTTTATTACATTAAATTGAACCATGCTTGTGTTGTTAAAGCATCACAAAGATGAATTTCATGGCTGGAAGGGAGAAGAATAGATCAAGCTTTTTTTTAGACTGCTGCACATTCAGAGTTCAGCACTTTCTCTCTTGTTTTTCCCCTTCCATCATTCCTTCTTTCCTTTCTACCTTTCATTTATCCTTCCTTCCTTTCTTCTTTCATTTCGCTCTTTCTTGCCTACTTCCTTTATTCCATTATTTCTTCCTTTCAGTTTTCCTTACTTTCTTCCCTCTGACCTTCTTTACTTTCTTCCTTCTGGTCTTCCCTACTTTCTTCCTTAACTTCCTTAAGTTTTCTCCTTTATTCATTCTTTCCTACTTTTCTACCTTCCCTCCTTCTTTTCTTTTTTTCTTGCTTTATTCTGTTATCTCTTCATTTCATTCTTCGGCCTTCCTCCTAACTGTCTTCCTTCTGGCCTTCCATCCTTTCTTGCTTCTTTCCATCTTTACTTCCTTCAGTTTGTCCTTCCTTCCTTTATTTCCTTTTCTCATGTTTTCTTCCTTCCATTCTTTCAGCCCTCCTTACTGTCTTTCTTCTGTCTCTCTTTACTTCTTTCTGTTCCATTTCTCTATTTGTCCTATCCTGACTTCTTTCCATCCTTCATTCCTTTCTTTCTTCCGTCCTTCCTTATTTACTTCCTTTAGTTCAACTTTCATACTTTCTGTCCATCCTTACTTCAGCTTTCTTTCCTTCCTTTGATGTTGCTTTGAATTTTGCATCTTTCTCTATAGAATTAGATTGATCTTTCTGTTTTGATTGTTCACACAACATGCTGACACATCTTTCTCTCTTCAGAGCGTTTGGAGCCGCAGGCGTCAGTAACAGTGTCCATGGGCGTAGACTTCAATGACTCTACACAAACTGCAAACTTCCAGCTGTGGTAACTGTTCACTGCATACTGTATATCATATACAGCAAACATTGTTAAGAGGAGCCAGAATCGTTAAGTCCCTTACAATTTTCATGCTTACCTCAAGTCATTATGGTTTAGTAGCACTACAACCCTTAGATCAGGTCACTCTGACACATCGAAGAACTAGGCACGATGGTGTTCGCTTTCCTCAAAAAACAACATTCAGCAAAAACATTAATACACACTCACAATGCGTGCACGTTATGATAGTGCTAACATGTCATTATACAGATTAAATTAATATTGTTCATTATCCTTACACTGGGTGAAATAAGACAAAATTAATTGTTCCCCTTTTCAATACGTTTCCGAATCATGTGAATGGTAATAATATGCATTCATTTTTTTTAATAATCTAATTTAGAGTGATTACACTTCTTCACAAAGCTTGTAATTGTTTTTTCTTTTTTCGATTACGCCGGAGGCTTTTGTGATCGATACAGTGAAATAGCCAGGCGTGAATAACATCACCATAAACAGCCGAGCTGAAGAGAGGGAGTGAACAGGCGACTGGTAGATTATGTGTGCTAATGGAGCCAATGTGAGTTCAATGACATGGAGATGAGTGGGCGCAGGTCAGGTTTGCACACATGTCTGTGGCCCTGGATGAAAGCCGAGCTCATGGAGTTGGTTTAAGGAGGGATTCGGCCCCTCTCTATTGCGTCTACATCAAGAGATTATGCCATATTAGAAAGAAATACCTGGATTTACTTTGCACGTTGATCCCTAGCCCGATTGTTTGGTCTCTGAATCTTTTTCAAGCCTGTTTCCCCTCATCGCCTGATCTCCATGGTGCCCCTGTTCTCCCACTCCTGGATTCACTCTTTATTGGCTTCCTATTTCCCAGTATGCCGCTCTTCATGATGGGACTTTAATGTCAGATTTCAGTCTTTATCGGAGTACCTGACAGTCATCTTTCCTATGGCAGGCCACAAACAGTGATGATGCTAATCAATACAAATATGAAAATAGAAATGACTCTCGTCCTTCTCTTTCCCTCTGTCTTTCTCTCCGTCTTTCATCTCTCTCTGTTGGTGGATCAGTGATGATTGATCCAGTGGGATGGTTATAACAGTTCTGTTTCTCAGCTAATTGGCTACTTACAAAGTAAATTGGCAAAGCTGACAATCAATAACTTTATTCTTTTACTCTTTTGGGATGAGAGGAGGGTCCGAAAACAAAATAGATTGTGTTTCAGTGTTTCTCTGATGTAAAATGTTTTTACTTGTTTAAAAACTGTGAAGCACTGATACAACTTCCCTGAAATGTTTTACGGCTTTATCACATCAGTTCTTTAGTTAACATGACATCAGAATTGACCCTATTTACTTTCTTTGTACATATTCCTGGTCTTTTTTCTCACTCAGAAATGTAAAAATATATCACATTACTGAGCTGAAGAAGGCATTACTTAAGTGGACATAAAATGCCCATAAATACCATAAATACAATTTAATATACTATAATACTTTGTATTGTAGCAAATTTAATAGATGTACTACCATTCAAAAATTTGGGGTTAGATATTTTAATGTTTTTAGAATTCTCTTATGCTCACCAAGGCTGCATTTATTTGAGGAAAAATACAGTAAAAACAGTAAAATTGTGAAATATTATTGCAGTTTAAAATAAATGTTTTCTATTTGAATATATTTTAAAATCTAATTTATTTCTAAATACAAAGCTGAATTTTCAGCATCATTACTCCAGTCTTCAGTGTCACATGATCCTTTAGAAATCATTCTAATATGCTGATTTGCTGCTCAAGAAACAATGTTTTGATCAATTTAATGCATCCTTGCTGAATAAAAGTATTCATTTATTTCTTAAATTCTTTTGCTAAGCACAAACTTTTGACCAGTAGAGTATATTTAGAAGAGAAACAGAAAAAGAGGGACAGGTGTGTGATGATCTTATGGTGCTGTTCTTTCTTCTTTCAGTACTAAAGAAGATGAATTCAGCGTGTCCATCCAGCCTGCGGTAGGCGAGCTGCTGCTGCCCATCACAATGAGTGAAGCAGACTTCACCAAAGAGCAGGGTAATACAAACACCTCTTAGCACTTACACAACACAATACTGATGCTGTAAACACTAAGAAATAACACTTAAAGACCTAAAAAATACAACACTTGTCTCATTTTCAAAAACATCTACACACGACTCTCAAAAACCTCAAGAACACAGGGCTGGGTGATTTTATATGAAAGCCATTTTAAGCCTAAGCTATGAAATAGTCTGAGGAATCATCATTTTCCCACTAAACTGATTCAAAATGTTGAAAAAACACTCAAAATCTAGAGAAGTTTTTTTTTAGTCAGTGAACACAAAGAAGAATACCTATTTTTAATGCACATAGTGCATTGAAAAATGCCAGAGTTGTGAACTGATACAAACTGAGTTTTGAATCAGAGTTTTGAACCAGTTTACTGAATCAGACAGTTTGATTCACTGAAATTTATTGAACTTACAAACTCAAAAGATGATCATAGACAATATTAAAACACTTAGTTCTCTACAGTGTCATGCAAGTTGTGAAGCAAGCAAGGATGGATAATGAAGCTAGTTTAATGATAATCTTTAGAAAACTTGATGGGCAAATAAAAAAAGAGTAATTGTGAAATTGTTAATTTGATATAAATTTTCTTAATTTATCATTAAAATTCAATGTATTGCCCAGCCTAACCAGTGCGTCCTAGAAAAACTAATGTGCATGTTATCTGTTAACATAGTCACACATACATACACTCCAGAGCTGACCACTCTTTTTTTCACCACTTTGAATGTGTGCGATATTTAGTTGATGAACAAGCTGAGTGCTGGTGACCGGCATGAACTGTTGAAAAACTCTTTACATTTAAATGTGGTTATTTAAACGCGCACAAAATATCTCATGAAATACTGTCCCTGATCTTCGAGCTGCCCCTGTGAAGATAACTGCTGATGCAGAAATCTTAGAAAGGCAAATCTGACACACATAATATACTTCACATGTACACCGCTAGTGTCTCCGCTGGAGGCCGACACAAGTTGTCCAAGGAGAATTAGACCAGATGTGTCTGACCTGTTCTCCACAGGACCCTGGGGGTCCTAAGTGTTTAAGCACTGTTTTGCGAGAAACTGATTGATATTAACAATTTTTTTTTTTACATCTGCTCTCTTATGAACACACTGTTTATTTTATTTATTTTTTACACCTGCTGTCTTAGCTGTTAACCTTGTCCTAAGCCAATGTTTATTTTTTATTTTTCAAAATGCCTTTTACTGTCTGTCTAAAATCGCATATTTTCCATACCTCTTCTGAATTAGTGTTAATTTTGTCAGACATTTTTAATTTAGTCTTAGTCTTTAAAATTAATTTTAGTCTTAGTCCTGGTGTCAAATGTACTTTTTAGTTACTATCATATTTAGTCTCATATACTCATACACATGGTTTATTTTACCTCATCTAGTGTACAGATTTATTATAGGCTATTTAATATATAAATTAATATCAAAGACTTGGATATGCACTCTCTCTGTTTACATTATGAAAACTGGCAAAAACAAACAAAAATATTTTAACACTAAAATTCCTAATAGGAATTCCAATAATTCCAAATTGCAATGTTTCTCTATTAAAACAACAGTGGTTAAGGAAGTGCATTTATTCAGCAGCCACAATCGCAAACAAAGTAGTCGAGATATCATGAGAGAACACAGACTGGCTGAATGACACTTTCATTTGAGCTGAACATCTCACATGGAGATCTTTTTCAGATCATCGTCGGCGCTTCCGCAATGAAGAATGAGCGCATGCGCATGGTTGCCAGATTGCAAAAAATAAGCAAAACACCAGGCAGAAAATGCATCTTTTTAACAGAGAAGCTCTGATTTGTGGATTTGAACTCTTGATATCTGGCAACCGCACACATGAAAGCTTGTTTAGTAGAGGCGTATACAGTAATTACTTTGGGACTGTTAAAAAGTATATACTATAAAGTATGAATCAGGGTTATTATAGTTAAGTGAAACTAAAACCATAAAAGGAACACACTATTTTTTTTTTACTAAAAATTTAATGTACGTTGAAATAAAAAAGTCACTTATTTTATCTCAGCTAGTTGCCAAGGCAACATTTCTTATTTTCATTTAGTTTAACTCGATGTACTAAAATAACTAAACTGCAATAAATTTATAAAAACAATGTAGACATTTTAAAACTAATAAAAGTAACACAAATTTAATTAAAAATTACAAAAGCACGCAACAAAGTTGCTAAAACTTTAACTAAAATGAACTGAAAACAGAAAATATCAAAATAAAAACTAGTTCAAAACAGTAGAAACGATAATAGTATCTCGATCATGTGAAAAAAAAAAAAATACTGGTATGAATGTGTGTAGTAAGAATAAGTCTGGATGTACTACATTTGCAATATTGTCTTGTGTCCTTTTATTCCTATTATATACACAGTAAAAAACGATTTTTCGAAGTTTTACATAAAACACAGATTATTGGAGTATATCACTTTTTGAGTGAGAATTGTTTCTACACCAAGTTTTTTTCAGTGTAGTAGGGGGAAGTATGTGATTTTGGACGCAGTCAGTGTCTCAACCAATCATATCAATTTGGGACGGAGCTATCTATTTGTCTGACCAATGACAGACCGGAAACCTGCTTGAAACAGTCATTTTTTAGTTTTTATGTTTTGTTAGTGACACAGAAATGCTCAGTTCACCTTTAAATTCCTGATCAAACTCCTGTTCCCCCTTCATTTGCGCAACAAACCGTTTCAGCTGATAAAACCAAACACAAGCATGGGAAAACCAAATAAATGAAAGCCAAGAAGAGAAAAGCTTGGTTTAACGTGCATCTGGCTTGTTCGGATGCCTTTCGGGAACGCACACACACACACACATCCACCTGGCCTGTTCAAATACCTTTCTCTGCTTTAGGGCCCAACATTAGGCTGACATAATGAAGCAGACGCTCTGCGAAAGAAACGGCGGGTTTGATTTTTCATTTACGCTCAATGGATTCCTGCCTTGTCTTTTTAGAGAGCTGCCTTTACCTTCACTCAGGACGACACGCGTGCGCGCACATTTTAATGAGCGAAGAGAGTGCTTCCCGCCTCACTATTTACAGATGAGGAACAGGAAGTAAGGCACTTTTTATAGCCAATCATTTATTCTTAATTGGTTGCTGTGGCAAAGGCTTTTAGCATAAGCCGCGCTATATTCATTTACTCCACATTTTCTCTACAATAGAGCCTAATGGACAGATTTAAGACTTTAAATGAGCACTCTCAAAACCTTGCCCCCTAAACGAGAGAGAGTACGCGTGTGTGTGTGTCTCTGTGTGTTTGCACGTATCACTGTGTGCACTCTTACATTCGTGCCATTTGAAATCCACGCTGAAGTGGGCCGTAGTTTGTGCCTTTTGGAAAGAAAAGCACCCAGTCTGTCTGTGTTTTTTAAGTGAAACACAACATTTTCATTTAGTCCAGTTTGCACACATTAAGCCATATTGTCTGCGCGTGTTTCCCTGAAGAAGCTTGTTAAGGAGCAGCGGTGTGCTGCTTTTATGTGCTTGTTACCGTTCGACAAGGCTTATTCACGCCATCTCTGGCTAATGTCCTGCACGGCCTCCGTGTTTCTCCGCTCGTTTTAGTCTTAATCAAGTGTAGTGGTCCAACAAGGCCCACAAATATCACATGCTCTTACCGAAAGCCGAGATTGTTTTGACTCCCAGTACCTTTCTTTGTGCGCTCGTCAAATGTTAAATATGAAAGAAAGGACACGTATACATGCTAGGTTTGTCTTTCCACGAGTAAGAGGCACACTTTCCTAAAAGCTGTATGCAGAACAGATGTTTCTGGTGTTCCTTTCAGTTTAAGTTTGTTTATTTTAAGATTTTAAAAGGGATAGTTCATTCAAAAATGAAAATGCATTCACTAAAGTCTAAATTAAATGTGCTAATCTCTCTCCTTTGTACCTTCTGAAATCTTTTTACTTCTAGCTCTTTTTACAGTAGTTTTATTAACCTTTTTTGTCATTATTTTTTAGCATGACAGTCCGTATATACGTATTGTTGTTCAAAAGTTTGTGGTCAGTAGAAATTAATAACTTTATTCAATAAGGATGCACACAGTTTTCACAAAAATATTAAACTTTTTTAACTAATTTACATTGATAAGAAATGTTTCTAGAGCAGCAAATCAGCATATTAGAATGATCTCTGAAGGATCATAAGACACTACAAACTGGAGTAATGACTAAATAATATTTCATAATATTACTGTTTTAACTGTATTTTTGATTGCTGTGCATAAGACTTTTGAAAACATAAAAAAAAAAATCTTATAGACCCCACTCTTTTGAACAATGTGATAATATAAATTAATTTGTGGCTCATGTGGCTCGTCTGCGTTTGAATCCAATTTGAGCTCCCAGAACAATTTACATAAAATAATAATAAAAGAAATACAATAAGGTGCAAATTGGTGATTTTTCAACTGTGTAATGAATACCTCTGTAGAGTGTAAAACTAATGTTTATTTCTGTGCTCAGGTAAACTGGTAGGCATGAACGAGTCTTCGGCAACAATTACCATTACGCCGGAGAACGTCTCCAGCCAATCAGTAAACAGAAAGGTGGTGTCTGTCGCCAACCTAGGGGTTATTCCATCCGGTCAGGAGAACATATACAGGTAAAAATAAAGCATATGTCCTGTTTCTTAGAAATAATTAAGTCTTTTACATTTTCAGTTTTACTGTTGTATTTTATCACTTTTTTCCCAGTGCCCTGTAGTTTTAAATTTTAATAGCTGCTTCTTCTCTTCAGAAACTTAAATGTGTATTTATGTCTTACCTAGTTATACTTTGGGAACAGTTCTGCTGAAAAAAAAAATGCCCCTAAAAACGTACTTTTGGGAATGTCGTCAAAAGGAAAAGTGGTTCATAAGTAAAGTAAACAATGTTTTTATTCCTAAAATGCAGTTTGCAATGTTTTTAAAGGCCCTAATTAGCCATCGGGATTCATGTACTTGTATGTGTCTCCTGAACATTTATAAAGATCTATATTTTGCGGCGTAATTACCGTAGGACAAAGCTTTCTGTCCTTGTAAAGGACTATAGCGGCCAGAACTTTCATACACGCAGAAACACACACACACACACGCAGCCTTCTTGCTGACACACAGACAAACGTATTTGTCTCTGTCTCATATATGCACACAAACACAGTGACGTTTGGTCTGGACTTTGGGGCAGTCTCTGATGCAGGCTAATTTAATTATAAAATATGAGCGAATATGAAAGCACCCTTGAGAAGCATTAAAATCTTCCTCACAAGGACACACAGCACACAGGCTGAGTGGAAATCAATGCCTGCAGGTCTGTGGAAAAGGCCTATATTTCATTTAGAATACGCAATCGGGCAAATGAGAGCATGTCATCAATCACACGGCTGTTTCTTAACAGACATCCCAAAAAAAACCTCTCCTTTATCCTTCCTCTACAAACCTGAGACATTTACCCTCATAAACAAATTACTGAGATGTCCAGTGTGAGTTTTTACTAAGTTGTTTCTGTAAAGTTTAATAGTGGCATTTTTGTGATTTTATTCGGTTTGAAATAATTTTTGTAATGCAGTTTAGATTTTAACTGGTTCATGTAGTCAGGTGACAACAAATAAATATAATTAGATACACATTTCATTTGAGCGGTTTCTCAGTGTTAGGCTGTAAAATAGAGATTCTCTATGTCCCACAGTCCCAACTGGTGTCCTTTTTACCCAGAAATCTGTATTTAGGGCTGTATATTCCTTGATTATCTCATTTATGTGCAACTCCAACACCAACTAATTCAGTGTATGGTTTCTATTTCCATGTTGGACACATTTTTAGTAGAATACTTTTGTTGTAGAGGCCTTCTCTAAGCCATTATTAACTATTTACGCACAAAGTCATGCACTTTCTGTGTTAAATGGTGAATACTGATCTGGTAGAGCTAATTGACCCCAGTTCTTTAGTGGATTGTGGGTGTTTGTGAGTTACAGTTCTTCTGTTTGGCAGCAGGGGGCAGCACTGCTTCAGTGGGCGAATGCAAGAAATCCAGGGGAGCTGCTTCTAAATGGGCTTGGAAAACAAAGACTCTGTTCCTGTCCTTCTCTAGATCACAGAAGGAAAACATCCTGTCCTCTCTGTTACTAAACAGAGACCGAATGAATCACAGCTATTCTCACTGTTGTTGTTTTGTTTTGTTATTTTAGCAAGCAAAATCACAGCAGTCATAAGTAGTCATAACGGGACATATCACATATAAAAGGCTTTTTCTTGTGTATGTGTTTAATGTTAGTTGGTGGGTTAGCTCAACAACTAGTCAACTAATCAACCTTTTTATTGCACAGAAGTATCATAGTGTTAACGAAAAAAAACAGAGTTGTAAAGATTATGCATGAGAATGGAACTATTGCTTCTTTAATAGGGCTGCTGCTTTTAACCAGCTATTTACTGACAACGTTGCTGAATTTTGCATTTATATATAACATTAATTTGATATTTTATTTAATTGTTAATACACACACACACACACACACATACAATTTATCAGTTAATATATGTATAATATTATGATTATCATTATTAACATGTTATTAACATGTTAATTATTAACATAATTAACATATTTGGAACAATTATTAACATATAAGATGTATTTGTAAATAAATACATATACAAAATATACTAAAATCTATACATACAGTATGTATTTATATAATATGTGTTCATTTGGACTAATAGTACTAGAGAACTATTGGTAGCTGATTAATAACATAAAATACATTTAGAACTTTGTAAGTGGTGAATGTGCAGTAAAGAACAACTTGATTATGATGAACAAATATTCAGATTTTTTTTTTTTGGCCAAACTATATTCAATTCAAGTTTATTTGTATAGCGCTTTTTACGATACAAATCGTTGCAAAGCAACTTTACAGAAAATTACCTTTCTACAATATTTAGTAGTAACTTATCAGTGGTGACTGTCAGTTTATGTACATACGCCAGAAATGTACGGAAAAATCAGTTAAAGACGTAATCAAACAGACGATGAACACTATTAACAGCAGTTATTATATAATGCAATCAAAAAAGTGGTAGCGATCGGATAGGTAGGATCTAAACCATCTTAAAGCCGGCCCTTGAATACCTGTATAGTTTTGTAATCGATCTGCGAGTATGTCATGATGTCGAACGCCGCACTAAGATCAAGTAAAACTAGCATGACTCTATAGCTGGACAACAGGTAGATCAACATCTCCTTTAAAATGTGGATTGAGGTTCATCAAGGGTTTGGTTTTTTGGTTCCTTTTAGTACGTTCTTCACTTCTGTCTTCACTGAGTCATCGCATTGAGCTTTTGAGGAGCCTTGTGATATCTGTCTCCTGTCCTCCGCCCTACTACACTGTTTCATGTCCGTTTACATCATATTTCATGCATGCTCTTTAGTTTATGTGCTCTTTTCTCCTCTGTGTGTTAGTTAGTTAGCAGCTGTGTGAGTGGAATTTGTTTCAGAGAAGAGGAGAGAACCTTGTCCTTCATTTTGGAGAGGGACAGCTGGTCATCTGGTCACTCACATTAACCTCTATTAGTACAGAGGACTCTTAAAACAGACACACACGCTCACACACAAACATACTTGGCACGGACATTTGGCAATTGATGACTAAAACACTCTCTGCAGATTTGAGGACACAGAGGAACAAGATAGCAGAATAAGGCTTTAACATATGGTGCATCCAGTGCAAAACATTTGCTTTCATGACTACCTTCTGAATGCTGGCTTTTGCAGATACGTAAATAGGAAATTTAGTAATAGTTGTTAACCATTATGGCTCAGTGATGACCAGTGCCAATCCTATAGGACTAAGTAGCTTTTAAATCTGAAGGAAAAATGTCACCTCAAAATAGAAAATAAATATTCAGCATAAAGTATATAAAAGCCATTTTAGGACCATTAGTTATTAGTTATATATACAACTTTTTTTTTTTTAATTGACATGTTCAGGATAATTTCCCCCCAAAATTATAGTAATGCACTGTTCTTTTTTTTTATTTATTTTTTTTATTTAATATATTGATATATTCATTAATATTTTTTAATACAGGTTTTGATATATATATGTTTTTTATACTTATTCAGTGCCAATTTTATGGTATAATTATATATATATATATTCCAATTGTTAGCTGCACAGGTTTTGCATTTCATTATGTACAGCCCCACTTATGTGCAAACCCTGCTCACACTGTGCTGCGTGCTCTAAAAAAACTCAAAATACAGTTTTCCTAGTATATTCCTAGCCTCAGAAGTTATTATCCACCCTGGCATTTACAAAATTTTCCATCTGTATCATTAAATGTAAAAATAAATAAATTAATTTAAAAAAAAAATAAAAATAAAGAATATATATATATATATATGTATATATATATATATATATATATATATATATATGTGTGTTTAATATAAATGTACTTTTGTTTATTTTTCTATGAATGTATTTATTTTTACATAATTGTTATTTATTTATTTTGTGACATTCATCCATTTACATCAACACTTTTGCTAATCTGTGATGCGGACCCGTTATCAGTACAAATTTAATCCAATAAATTTGACCTGAGCAATGTTTCTTTCACTGTTAAGGTCCATCTGTGAAAGTGAATGATAACTGTTGCCTGTGAACAGGAATCTTACTAGTCCAGTCTTTAAGGTTGAATAAAGAGGCGACAGTCATTTAATCTCTCTCTCTCTGATTAGGAGCATGTGTGTGTGTGTGTGTGTGTGTGGATCGATAGCGGTCCGGCTGGCCAGCACTGGGCTACTGCTTTGCTTTTCTTCCCACAGCCTCAATTAATCCAGTTCAGAGGCCCAGTGGTGACAGACCAGAATACCAATGACCCATTTAGAGCCTGAACCACACCATATACAACACACACACTTAGTAAAGCTGCTGTGGGAGTGTGAATGTTTATTTTGTGTGAGAATGAGCGACTGATAGACAGAGTTAAACCGAATGACTGTCCAGTATCAGGACCTGCAGCTGTAATTGTACCGTGTTTGTCTATATTTGTATATGTAAGCTTAGAGACCACTAAAATCATGAAGTGGCTATGGGTTCTATCACACACATAGGCTGTGCCTCAGGGCCATGTTAAGTGCGTGTGTAAATAAGACTCTTATAAAGTGACTCCATTAGTAGTGCCGCAGGGAGCGAGAGCTCAGAGTGTCAGCAGCACACTGACAGCACAGATATAATGCACTACATCTGCAATGTCTGTATATGTGAACTATCTATAAATGTCTGTTTATATATCTGTCTGTCATTCTCTCTGTCATTCTATCCATCTATCCGTTGTTCTATCGTTTTGTCTATCATGTAACATTTGTGTGTGTTTATGTGTGTGTGCTGATTGTCAGATGTGACGCCCTCTCCAGTTGGTTAGCAGTAGCTCTGACGGCCCTTGTGTCTCATGCTGTCATGGCTAAATGGTGGTCATTGTGTGTGTGTGTGTGAGTGCGTGAGACAGAGAGTTTGGGAGTAAAAGAGGGACCTCCTGGAAAGAGGGGCCTCCTGGTGGGGGGGGGGGTGTGTGTGCTTCTCAGTGCTAAATGGGGTCCCCGTGTGTGAGGGTGTGTGCTAAACGGTTGATTGTTGTATAATAGGCTGTGTAAATGGGAGGCAGATGGCAGTGTATCAGGCACGTGGGTCCCCCTCAGTGAGAGAGGGAAGGAGAGACAGACAGGAAGGAGGTACAAGGGCGCAGAGGTCGGACAGGGTCGTGTCTGCACTGTCAGTGGAGCCGTGTGTGGTGCGTTCACTAGTGTTTCCAGTCTGTGACGTTACCAGGGATACTGGACGCCAGGAATTCTCCCACAGCGCTATGGAACGGTTCATTAGTACAGTTCATCTCTATTATTACTATAGCTCACTTTAATTTACTTGCATCATACCATTATAGGACAGTGACAGCACATCCATTTACATTTTAGTAGTGGGTTTTATTTTGCATTTTAAAATAAATTGTTCCTTTCCAAGATGTTTGGTCAAAAAAGTGTTCCAGTTGTGTGAAAATAAACCTGTTCACCCTGCTGTACCACTGCACATTACAGAGGCCAATTATTATCCTTAGTTTGCATATGAGGGTAAACTATTCTGCTTTTTCATACCATTAGAAATGGTCAAACCATCTTACTTAGACAGTTATTTGGAGAATGTGTCATTAGCATGCCTTTTAGAATTTTTCAAACAAACATAATCTTCATGGTGATATATATATATATATATTTGTTTGGTTGAATTATCATTTATTTGTTTGATTTCTATTTTATTTTATTTATTTATTCACCATGCAGATTGAGTATTTATTTATTTTTTATGTTTTTATTATTATTACATTTTATTTTTACCATGAATATTATTTGTTTGGTTGGTGTATGTATGTATGTATGTATGTATGTATGTATGTATGTATGTATGTATGTATGTATGTATGTATGTATGTATGTATGTATGTATGTATGTATGTGTGTGTGTGTGTGTGTTTGGTTTTTATTTCTTTAATTTAGTTTATTTTTACAACAAAGATTTTTTTGTTTGGTTTAATTATCATTTTCTTCTTTTATTTGTTCGTTTGTTTATATTTTTCCATTTTTTGTTTTATTTCTTTAATTTGTTTTATTTTACATTTTGTTTTGTATTTTTTTATTAATTACATTATTTATTATTCACTTTATTTCATTGATTTATTTCACCTTGTTCTTGCAATGAAAATATCTGATTTGCATTAAGCACTTTACTTCTACTAAATATCTGACTATATCTACTAGCAGAGAGATGCCACTTTATTTAAGTGAAGAGGCACTCAGGATTGTGTTTTATTGTGCATATAGCAACTCCATTGTGCCCCAACATCTTTTTTATTTTGAATATAGAATAGCGTCTCTTAGCTTATTGTTTAAAGCACATAAATTGCAGCGTGTTTTGCGTTCTTTTAGGCATGCTAAATTTGTGCAGATCCCAATGAAAGTTTGCATTGCTTGTGAACGACTCTAGCTTACACTTGCCACTTATGTACTGCAAAATAGTCTCTTTAGATAAAAGTGTCTCTTAAATGACTACATGTAAAATGTAAAAGTAAAGCATGCTTAGTTTAGTTTAGTTTTATTTATAGTTTGAAATATTAACGTGAAAAGACAAAGCAGAATGAATCACCAACAAAAATCACAATTCTATTTGATTAATCATTTCTCTACTGGTGTGAATGGCCTTTAATACTGCAACATGGATATCACACAGTAATTCTCGTAGAGCTTTTATTAAAATCATAATATTGCTCAGTATGCTTTACTCCATCTCCACTGAAGTTAATCCAGTCCTCTGCACTCTATTTAGTGCACACCCCCACACTTTGCTCCCTGTCTGTGAGAGGCTACCGGGTTCGAGTCTGTGATTGACAGGAGTGTGTCCCTTGGCCCCTAATAGCTTCTTAATCAGACCAAATAATAGACTGCCGTGCCTGTTCACTACCCACTCACACACATCTCCCCCTTCACTCTCCAGTGCTCACATATGGGTATGGCACATATTTATGCACTTTATTAAATATATTTAATGTATTAATTTACATACTTATTCATTGTTATCAACTCTTGGAAATCTGATATTCATTTTGCAAAGTATCTTACTTTGCTGTAAGCCCACAAACAATAATTTGTCATTATACAGTGTTTATAAACCTTTTTTTATATAATCTGTAAACCTATGCTCATATTATATTATATTATATTTATTTTATATTAATGAGTTACGGCATATGGAATAGTATTTACCTTACACAATTAACAAAAATGATCTGTATTTTTTATATTTTATTTGTTTGTGTGTGTGTGGGTTTTCCAAAAATATGAGTCTCATCAATGTTTCTTTTGACAATGGTTCAAAAATAATAAATACTAGAATATTGTGTAAACCTTTAATATATTATCACTAACTGTTTGGCTATTATCATTATCACCTTTTCAGATCATTAGTCATTAAATCCTCTGCGAACACTGCAAATGTATTGATTGTGGCAGGCACCTTTCATTTATTCTCTAATTTAGTTTATAAAAATCTCATTCACAGTTCATTTCATGTAATTAATTTCAAGTTCATTGGTTACGTCTTCAGAAGAGTCATTTTTGGAGGAATATGAACTGATGAATTGTGCACAATAATATTAAGGGTATTTGTGAAGTAAATTGTGTCCATTTTGAATGAATTATATTGATTTAATGTTTAATATTTCTCTGTTGAAAAAACGTTTTAAGATATTTTAAATCAATCCTGAATCCATGTTAGATTTTCTATCTGAAGCAAACTTTAAAAACGTACTTGTATATGTGACCCTGGAGCACAAAACCAGTCTTAAGTCGCTGGGGTATATTTGAAGCAATAGCCAAAAATACATTGTATGGGTCAAAATTATTGGTTTTTTTTTATGCCAAAAATCATTAGGACATTAAGTAAAGATCATGTTCCATGAAGATATTTTGTAAATTTCCTACCGTAAATATATCAAAACTTAATTTTTGATTAGTAATATGCGTTGCTAAGAACTTAATTTGGACAACTTTAAAGGTGATTTTCTCAATATTTAGATGTTTTTGCACCCTCAGATTCCAGATTTTCAAATAGTTGTATCTCGGCCAAATATTGTTGTATCCTAACAAACCATACATCAATGGAAAGCTTATTTATTCAGCTTTCAGATGATGTATACATCTCAATTTTGATTGACCCTTATGACTGGTTTTGTGGTCCAGGGTCACATATATGTTTTTAAATTGCTCTTTTATACTATTTAAAGTCGTTGCTCGCCATGAAGCTGGCATGCCGATGAAACACCAACTAACCAGCCAATCCATTTTTCTGCGTGTATTTCCAGGTTTGCCGGTAAGACGGTGAGTTCTGGATCTCTGGTCCTGGTGTCGGTCGCCCTGAAGGATCCTGACGCTATGATCACCATTAACACTGAGAAAACAGTCATGGGCTCTATGCTCCTGCGACAGGTTAAAACGGCCCTGACCAACAGCGGCCCCTAGAAAGAGATCAAATCTCACCGTCACTCTTTCACACTCAGGACAGGTGCTGTATTCAAATATAGCTCACTCTGGGTAATAATGACACTCGGGAGGATTTGTATTGTTTGGAAAAGATGACAGAAAGATGGCTTCATATCTGTTCTCATTTCAAGAGATTTTATGCCCCAGATATGCTTTGCATAAGTCTCTGCTTTCATTACGGGCGCATTAATGTTCTCTGCTAATCTGTGAGATTTGACTGTATTCAGAAAGGCTTTTTGAGCTCAATGCTGACAGTTTGCACAGCTTTTTATTTGTTGGTAAGATTTCATTTTGATAAATGTCCCAGATGACATGATGCTGACTAGCATGTGCCGTTCTCTGTCTGCTCTTTGTGTGACCAAAATTGCAAAACTATGTGTTATTCCTGACAGGAGTTTAATTTGCTTAAAATTACAGTGATTAAAAAAAACAATATGGAAACTGAGAAGTAGTTCTTGTTTGTTTTTCTTATTTGTATCATATTATACTGTGATTTGTTTTGTGCCACATGGATTCACTGTGATGTCATTGTAATATGATCACATGACGTCTGGTTTAAATGAAGCTGCTAATGAACAGAGTAAGAATCAAGCCTTTCTGTACAGTATAATATTTGTTTTTTGCCTCTGATGTGTTCCTGACACACATCTCTCTAAAATAAGTTTCTTAAGAGGGAACATTTATGAATAAATACCTCTGACCGCTGATTGAAACTAAACTAATCATGTACTGAAAGGATTTCAGAGAACTAACCAGCTACTGTCACTTGCTCTGATTGGATGAGAGCCAGTCAGGAGTTTCATGTACTGTCATTTAGTTGATATTTTCTTGCAGTGTTCAGCATGAAGTATGGGGAACAGGTATGTATTGCAGTTCTTTTGAGGATGTTTATTATGAGAGTGAAGATCCCAGATTCCTTGTTAGGATTCAGTTAACATTGTATCGATTGCAGGCCGTCCTGGACACCACAAAAAACAACATTAAGTGCATTTGAAGGCTCATTCAATGCCTCTCTGCCAGAGAGAACTGAACATGGCATGTTGAGATGAACCATGTCACAGCAAAGGGTCTGAATACTTAGGACCATGTGATATTTCAGTTTTTCTTTTTTAATAAATCTGCAAAAATGTCAACAATTCTGTGTTTTTCTGTCAATATGGGGTGCTGTGTGTACATTAATGAGGGAAAAAAATTAACTTAAATGATTTTAGCAAATGGCTACAATATAACAAAGAGGGAAAAATGTAAGGGGGTCTGAATACTTTCCGTACCCACTGTAAATGTTCAGTCCGATTCCTAATATTTACACCACCACTATTTTCCAGACTGGGCAAGAAATTGTAGTTTATGGCCAGTGTGAGGCTTTTCTCTGTCAAGCAACAAGCCCCATCTTTATTGAGCGTTATGGCATTGTTTATCACACACAGAGTTGATCTGATGTGCACGCAGATGTGCGGCTGGCATTTTTATGGAAGGGAAGCGTGCGAGAGAGAACTCAGCACCATCTCCTTTCATCACTGGAGGCTGTTAAGATGTCAGTGTGCCGTTAAGATGCACTCCAAGAGAAAAACACTCATCGTGCGCTCATCTCACATGTGCTGCTGCTTCATCTCAGCCTCTCAGCCAGTCATTTAATGGCGTAATCATTATAGATCATACTAACGATACCTAAATTATGAATACCCGATACGTTATGAGATACTGTGCTATATTATAAAAGTAATTATGGTAAAGGGTGTTGATGACAACTGAGTACATACAGCCCCTTCAGCACATACAATTTTAAAAAAAAACGTAACATTGAAATGCAAAAACAAATGTTTTGAAAAAATGCAGCTATTTTTTGAGAAAATTTGTGACCTTTGTTTTTTACTTTGTACTTTGCACAGATAATTTATTTTTTATGTTATATTATGATAATTGAGATACTACTATTTTTATTCATATTTTGAATTAGTTTTTATTTTTGTATTTTCTGTTTTCTTTTTATTTTCAGTCAAATAGTAGTAATTTTGTTGGCAGTTTTTGCCTTTTTTTATTAGTTTTTTTCCCCGTCTGTAGTTTTATTATTTTAGTATATCAAGTCAAACTAAATAAAAAAAAAAATTTTTTTAAATGTTTAAAAATTTTATAAAGTTTTATTTCAAGTAATAAACTATTATTATTTTTTATGGTTTTAGTTCAAATTTTAGTTTTAGTTATAATAACCCTGATCCCCAGGTTCTAATTTCTTTGTATGTCACATTCCTAGTATTATGTATTTATTTATTTAGCTTTTTCTAATCAATTTCTAATTCTAGTTTTAATTGTTTATCAAGTTACACTTTTTTCTGTGTACTCTGTATTAATTTCTACTCTCCTTTAGTGCTTTAGAAAATCCCAATAATTACAATTCTGTGTTTTTCTGTCAATATGGGGTGCTGTGTGTACATTAATGAGGAAAAAAAATTAACTTAAATGATTTTAGCAAATGGCTGCAATATAACAAAGAGTGAAAAATTTATGGGGGTCTGAATACTTTCCGTACCCACTGTATATATATACCGTACTGACTTTGGCTCCTGGAGGACCCACTTGCACCTGCAGCCCAGAGCAAAATACCTTTTTATTATACTCCATACTGACATACCTGGACTGTACTACCCTACTTGGTCATTCCCAGTTATCACATATTTTTTCCTTTGGGAGGTTTATCAGTACACTACCTATATATATATATAAAATGCCAGTTCGTGAATGACATCATATGCCATTGGTGTCAATGGATTTAGCAATATGATTTCTGTGATGTTTTGTTATATTAGTTGGTTTCTCTCCCTTTAAAGGTGCCATAGATTGGAAAACTGTATTTACCTTGTCATAGCTGAATAATAACAGTTGTGTACATGGAAATGGCATACCGTGAGCCTCAAACACCATTGTTTCCTCCTCCTCATGTAAATCTTGTGCATACAAAAGACCACTGAAAAATAGGCAAATCAGAACATAACACCGATTATGATGTTACAGTCGGGATCACTAATAGTTACGCCCCCAACATTTACATATACCCGCCCATGTTCTATGCCAGCCACCAGCCGAACCATCAGAAGTTCTGCAGGTATTGTGAAGAAACAAGTGACGATAATAGTGAAAATGACAGATCATGGAAATAAATGTTATGTTCCAGGCTGTGCAGGGGATGTGATGTGCAGGGATGGGTTGGTGTCTGTATTCAGAAAGGCACGGAAAACAAATAACGCACGTTCGAATAAAAATAACGGGAACCACTAAAGGGACATTAGTGGTATTTTTTTATACAGTATAATTACCCAACGATATAACTGCGAGAGACAGTATTGAAATATATATTTTCCCTGTGTTTCCTTCATGCTGTGTGAGCTACTGAAATGAGCCGCACTGTGAAACAGCCAATCAGAGCAGAGCTCAACATTATTATTCATGACCCTTCCAAATAAGGTAAAAACAGGCCATTTCATTCTAGGGACAAATCCTAGGGTTGTAAATGGACATGTAAAACCGTTTCTGGAGATTTTTTGCCCTTACCTAAGCCACATACCTTCTATGTAGATATCAGAGAACAATTTAAAATATTGTATCAATGCATTCTATGGCACCTTTAAAACATTTCATCCTGTACAAAAATCATTACATCAGAAAATTTAATAAAATAAAAAAAATTGTCTGTGTTCCAAGATCTAGTGAGCTGCCTACCTAGACAGCATTTTTGGGCATCACAGGTTTAAATGAGTGTGTTCTGAGTGAGATGGTGCTGTAAACAGCAGTCCTGCTTTTGTACTGTTTAGTTAATAAAATCAAGAGAATTACAGTCCATCAGCAACATGCAACTCCACTCGTAATGACAATTAAAAGCTGTTCAAACTAACTCAAGTGTATGTGAGTTGGGAGCCGTTTCACTCAGATTAATAGAGGTCACACTAACTGTAGCTACTGAACAGCAGTGCTGTAATTTTAGTTCAAAATACAGAGTTGATCACAGCGTTCTGACAGAACACATGGCACACTGTGTTTTTCCTCAATTAAAGTAGATTTATTGAGGTTAGAAATGGATAATTTGAAATCAGAGGATTTGAAGGCATTCGGCTGGTGCCTCAGTAATTATTTTTAAACTCTGTTGCGACGTGATTCGACTCCAATTAGGCCAATGTAAACACTGCGCTTTCAATTAAACCTGGGTGGCGTGGTTGTACGTGTGTTGCCATGGTAACTGACAGCGTGAATTATTCTGCGTGGGCTTTGTGATCCTGCTTTTTTACTCAGTGAGTCAGTTCCCATTCTCAGGAAAGCCAAAGTCAACAGGAATTTAAAGATGCATGAAAATCTTTCTTTCTTTGTTTTTATGATTGTGTTGGGCCTAAATTCACCCTTTATCGGTCATTATATTCACAATACAGCATGGCCTCTAAGTTTTATTGTATTTTTTATACAATATAAAGCTCAGTTTAATTACAATTAAGTAGCATTATTCTTTATAAAGGGTTATATGCAATGCCATATATACTACCATTCAAACATTTGGAGTTTTTGAAAGAAATTGATACTTTAATCAAGGATGCATTAAATTGTTCAAAAGTGACAGTAAAGACATAGTTACAAAAGATTACTGTGTCAAATAAATGCTGTTCTTTTAAACATTATTCCATAGAAATATTAATTAATCTATTAGTTCACCCAAAAATTAAAATTAGTCCATAAATTACTCACCCTCAAGGCATCTTAGGTGTATATGACTTTCTTCTTTCAGACGAATCCAGTAGGAGTTATATTAAAAACTGTCTTTGATCTTTCAAGCTGTTTAATGCCACTCAGCGGGTGTTGCATGCATCAGTCCAAAAGAAGTTAAATCAAAAGCGCCCATCCATTTAAAAAAAATGCATCTCGCACGGCTCCGAGGGGTGAACAAAGGACTCCTGTAGCGAATCGATGCGTTTTTGTAAGAATATCCATATTCAAAATGTAATAATCACTTTAATCTAGCTTGCGCCAACAGTTGTACACGGAAGCAGCTCCGGGAGGATGATGTAAGATGTCGGTGTTGCGCATCTGAAGCATCATGTGACACTGAAGACTGGAGTAATGATGCTGAAAATTCAGCTTTGAAATCACAGGCACAAATTCAGTTTTTTTTAAATATATTGAAATAGTTAATATATTTTAAATAGTCATTTAAAATAGTAAATAATAATATTTCACAATTATGGTTTTTGCTGTATTTTTATCAGGTAAATGCAGCTTTGAGCTTAAGAGACTTCTTTCAAAATATTTAATTTTTAGAATAAAATGTGGTAACATTAAAAAAGTAATAAAATAAGAGAGATGAAGCATCATGTGACACTGAAGACTGGAGTAATGATGCTGAAAATTCAGCTTTGAAATCACAGGCACAAATTCAGTTTTTTAAAATATATTGAAATAGT